CTTCTTCCTCCTGCCCAAAGCACCTGAACTCTAGGTCTCTGCCAGAATTTTGATCTTCTTATTTAATGGTTTGTTTGCCCCCTATAGGCTCTGAACAACTTTAAACAAAGCACTCTATGAGCCCTGTTTCTCCCTCTGGCACCACATATCCCACTCCTCCTTTCCAATCCAAGTTTATCTACTCATTTAACAGACATATTGGATAGCTTCACTAGACACCAGAGGAGGCACAGACCCTACCTTCAGTGAGCTCAGAATCTTCACCTCTGTCTCCATTCCAGCCACCTACACATGGCAGCCACCCGGCCTCTCTATCACATTAGCCCAGACAAAGGCTGTCAACAATTTCCCAATAGCCAAACCCAGTGGCCTTCTTTTCATCTTATCTCACTTGACCCTGTTAACCAATGAATCTCCTTCTTCTGCATGCTCTAGTCCAGTGATGGCGAACCTTTTGAGCTCGGCTTGTCAGCATTTTGTAAAACCCTAACTTAACTCTGGTGCCGTGTCACATATAGAAATTTTTTGATATTTGCAACCATAGTAAAACAAAGACTTATATTTTTTATACTTATTTTATATATTTAAATGCCATTTAACAAAGAAAAATCAACCAAAAAAATGAGTTCGCATGTCACCTCTGACATGCGTGTCACAGGTTCGCCATCACTGTCTTAGACCAATATGTCCCACATGAACCTACCATCTTCTTCCTAAACTCCATGAACCACCCCCTCTTGTATCTTCCATTTCAGAGAGCAATAGACACCACAGCTAGAAATCTAGGAGTCACCCTTTCCCTCACTTCTATACCAACTTGATGACCAAGTCTTGTCATGCCTATCTGCTCCCACATCTACCTCTGTCTTGGTTCACACCCTCATTATCTCTCACCAAGACAACTGCAGTAGCCTCCTGCCCGGCTTCCCCACCTCCTGTCTCACTACCCTCATCCAGTCCTCACAATGCAGCCAAAGTGAGTTTTCTAGGTGCCAACTGGTCTGCCATGTTCCTCTTCTTTAATAGCATTCTACTGCCTTCAAGATGATGTCCTTATCATGTCCCCACCCCAGGACCAGGGCCCTGGTTCCTTTCTCAACCATCAGCTCCTCACCCTCATCCATCCCCTTCTCCATTCCTTCTCTCCTGCCTCCCACTACCCAGAAATACCTGCTCATTTTGGAAAGAACAATGCTATCAAAGTAGAATTGGTCATACATGTCTTATTCCCCTTTACCCTGCAAGAGTACCTCATGCATATATGGCAACTTGAGAACAAGAGCCGTATTTCATCTGTTTCTGCGTCTATAGGTCCTGGGACATAGAAAGTACTCAGGAAGCCCTAGCTGGGTAGCTCAGTTGATTAGAGCATTGTCCTGATAAGCCAAAATTGCGGGTTCAATCCCTGGTCAGGGCACATACAAGAGTCAACCAATGAATGCATAAATAAGTGGAACAACAAATCAATGTTTTTCCTATCAATATTTATCTCTTGCTCCCTCCCTCTTTCTCTAAAATAAAATCAATAAGCGTATTCTTGAGGATTTAGAGAAAAAGAAAATACTCAGTAAATATTGGTTGATTGAAAAAAATACATGAGCCCAGCTGGTGTGGCTCAGTGGGTGAGCATGAACCTATCAACCAAAAGGTTATTCCCTTCAGAGCACATGTATGGGCTGAGAACTCAATGCCCAGTAGGCGGTGTGCAGGAGGCAGCTATTCAATTATTCTCTCTCATCATTAATGTTTCTATCTCTCCCTCTCCCTTCCTCTGAAATAAAAATTTTAAAAAATTTTTAATTACTATTGTATTCAATGTTTTTTTTTTTAAAGGTCTATATGCAGGTTCCACTAACTTCTTCTGAGCCAGTGGTTCTCAACCTTGGCTACAGGATTAGAATCACCTGGGAATCTTT